CCTGAATGAAATGGAAAACCCTGGGGGGCATGGAAATTTTCATCAGAACGTAGTTCGACCTAATAGGAATCTCAATCGAGAATAATGCTAGGCCAAACAATGTTACTCAGGAACTGGTAAATGTCACTAGGGAATATCCTTGGGGTATGCCACCTAATTGGCGGAGCGCCCAACCGGTGCATGTTGAAATGTCAATGCCTTTCGTAGGACCCAGTTCACAAATGCACGTATCCCCACAGGGATACAATCCTGGGCCAAATGGTTTGGGTTTTGTTATGCAAGACCCATATCAGCATGTGGGAACGAGTCAGGAAGGATCGTTAATACGACAGGGTAGTTACGTACCTACTGGTATCAGTAATCAAGCGATGATGGCCCTTCGACAACAAATGGATCATAGAAATCATGACATGGTCAATTTGTTGTCAACTCAAATGCACAATATTATGACTCATCTGTACGAGTTTATAAACAAAATAGGGGACAGATTAGGTAATGAACCTCCTTCGAGAGCAATGAGTGCAAACCTGAATGAAATGGAAAACCCTGGGGGGCATGGAAATTTTCATCAGAACGTAGTTCGACCTAATAGGAATCTCAATGATAACTTAGATCAGATGGTGGAAAGAATATTGAATAGGCATGGATTCGATGTAGGTCGAAATGAGCGTCCATATTTCGTGTCAGCCTTCCCTGATTATATAACACAGGTTGAACTACCCCGAGGATTAAAAGTACCAAAGTTCTCAAAATTTGCAGGAGAATTGACTGAGTCAACAGTCGAACACATAGCTAGGTATGGGGTCGAATGTGGGGATCTAGCAAATAACGAATACTTGAAAATGAAGTATTTCCCTAGTTCTTTGACCAAACATGCTTTTACATGGTTTACCACCTTACCTCCTAATTCGATACACACTTGGGTACAGTTAGAGGTTAGTTTCCACGAACATTTCTTTAGAGAGGAAACGAAAGTGAGTATAGTCGATCTAATGAATATCAAGAGACAAAATAATGAAACCTTAGATGACTATTTAAATAGATTCAGGCAATTAAAATCTCGATGTTATACTAATATACCTGAACATGAATTAGTTAGGATTGCAGCAACAAGGTTAGATTTCTCAATACGCAAAAAATTAGTGAACGAACAATTAAGAGATATGGCCCAATTAGCCGAGAAAGTAAGGAGGATTGAACAAATTAAGCTAGAAAAAGAAAGATTAAGAAAATTTGACAAATTTGTTCGAAAAGAGAAGGTGGCGTATTTAGAGAATTCCGATCTCACTGAAGATTCTAACTGTGAGGTTTCGAGTGAAGATTTTGAGATCAACTTGACAGAACTACGCCTTGGCCCTACGTATCAATGTCAAATGTTAAAACCGGGGGATAATGTAGAGTGGAATTCGACCAAGAGATATAGTTTTGACGTAACTAAAGCGGAAAAAAATATTCGACATATTGCTAAAAAATAAAGAAATTGTACTCCCATAAAACCATAAGATCCCATCATTCGAGCAAAGGAAAGGAAAGAAATTTTGCAAATATCATAATATGTATGGTCATTGGACTAACAACTGTGTGCGTTTCAGGGATCTGATTGAAAGGGCGATTGCTGATGGTCGTCTTGCTTTCGGAGAGAAGGATATGAAAGTTGACACAGACCCATTCGCTGCTCATACTGGATATGTCGAACCAGTTTCTATGGGGGTCAACATGGTGGATGTTACTGTTGAAGAAGATGAAAACATCGAACCTATCTCCGATGAGAAGCTCGAGGAACTAATGGAAGACTTCGCTAAGGAACAAGAACCTATCTACCCAAAGGAAGGGGACAGCTTGGTTGAATTCTTATCGAAGAAGCAAGAGGCCGACAAAGAGGTTATGTTGTGCCCTCGATGCAGTGCCGTCTTTGACAAGGCTGCGGCTAAAGCCTTCGAGGAGTCAGAAATGATGAAAAGTTACAAAGCCGAGAAGCTGCGTGAAAGGGCTAGACTGCATGCTGGGTCGAAAGCAGGTTTAACCATGAGGCAAGTTCACATGCCTCAATATAATGCCCCAGTAGGAAAGATGGAGATGTATAACTCCTCGAGATTCGGCAATACTTATGTGCCGAATGCAAATGTGCCTGTGGGAAAGTGGAACGCTCCACCTAGGCCAATGATGGGAGGCATGGGTCGAGGAAAACAGGTCGTGAGTCATGCTGCACACACTATGCAAGGAATGCCTGGGAGGACGTTGAATTCGATAACAGGTCCCAATCGAGTTACTACTACTGGGGGATATGGGCGTGACTTTCTGGTGAAAACCATAAGCGTGGCCGATAAGAGCTGTCTTGATCGGCCCCACGGTGGGTGCCAAATGTTCTTACCGGAAATCTGCTGTAGAGCTGATCCGCCAGGTAAGATCGGTGAGCCTCCTTCACTGGTACGCTTGATGCTCCAATATGGGGGTGGTACCTGCAAAAGAGACTCTGATGCTAAAGTTATTAGTGTTTGTAGGAGTATGAATCTCGTATAAGTAATGCACGTACCTTAGTGTGAATTAGGGTTGCTTTGGGCCTTGGGCCTGAGATAAGATATGATAAGATTAAATAGTGGATCTCGTCTGAAGCGAGATCCCTCGAGATCAGTTATGATCTGCTTAAATGTCGAGCTGACGTCGCGTAGCGCGTGCCCGACCTCATCTTGTGCTGTGATGCCGAGCTCGGAGCTCGGCTTCGCGGTACGGACAGTACAAAAAGGATATTTAAATGTTAAAAAAAATATTAGTGGTTTGTATGAGAAATCGCTGAGAAAATATCAGTTTGTTAGTGGTTTATATATGATAGATAAATTTACATTACTGGTAACATCATCAGGGTTTAATCCGCGAACACTTTCGCTATAAAACCTCTAAGCCTTTTTTTGTGGCAGTGTAGTCTAATATATATGTTGCACATATATGTGATATTTCAAAAGGAAATAGTCCCACATTGCTTGGTCCACCTATATGTAGAGCATTTATATATTAAAGTGCTCCTTAAGCTTCCAAAGAGGCAAGCAATGGGTAGTGGGCCCGTGCACGTGAGAATGGGCCTTGTGAGCCCATTGTAGTTCAAATCTGTCGATTTGCCCCCTCCTGCGCGTGCAATAATCAAATCCGAAAATATTTTTATTTTTAATTACATTAAATTTTTCTTAAAATTAATTAAAGAAACCTTATCCGAATATGACCGTTTTCTTAAAATTAATTAAAGAAACCTTATCCGAATATGACCGTTTTTCCATTTCAAAATTCAAACTTGATTCTGTTTTGAAAACCGATCAAATCTTATCACTAAAAAATCGGATTAGTTTTCTTTAATTATACATATTCATAATCTTCACATGTTAGTTCTGCTCCTCAGATTACTGAGACGACCCTGTTGTATCTTGGGGGGCTTGCGCGTATCCCGCGAATAAGTCCTTAAGGTCTATGCCATCACACGCCTCAGGGAATTTTACTAATGTCGTTTTTCAGTGTTACAGGTTTCAGGCTTATTCGACTTGCGTCCGCCGTTTCAATTACAACAATATATTACCTTGGTTAAAGTTGTAAGTAAATGCAAACCTTTATTTTTCATATATTCTGGTATGTATATATAATTTTGTGTCAATAATGTGTTAACAAGGAGTTTTTGGGGTTTTCTAGTGCCCATGTGATGCACTTGTTAGTTGTTATTAGTTGAGTAGGTTGAAATCGCTGTTATACCGATGACTTTTTTCTGAGGTGGAGGCTTTCGGTTATTGTTCCGTGAAGTTCACCGACCACTTATTTTGCCACTGATAAAGTCATCAAAATAACATAGATATAAAGATAAAATTTCGAATATAAAATCTTGGTACGTGAAAATCTTAGTTGAGTAAAAGCTCTCGACCAAGTAAAAATAAAAATCTGAGTATAAAATTTTGGTACCTAAAAACCTTGATTGAATAAAAGCTCTCAATTAAGTAAAAATAAAAGGCTTAAGTATAAAATCTTGGTATGTAAAGACCTTGGTCGAGTAAAAGCTCTCAACCAAGTAAAACTAAAAATTCAAGTATAAAATCTTGATATGTGAAAACCTTGGTTGAATAAAAGCTCTCAACCATGTAAAAAAAAACTCCAAGTATGAAATCTTGATATGTAAAGACCTTGATTGAGTAAAAGTTCTTGATCAAGTAAAAATAAATCTCAAGTATAAAATTTTGGTATTCAAAGTTCTCAACATCAATAACAAAATACTAACACAAGTAATAAGTGCTGAAAGTGAAATTCATTGATTAAAAGTTCAAAGATTACATCTCTAGTTTTTTTTGGATTCATTTATTTTATCTTATTCAAAGAGCGTTCTGTTGTAGATTATCTTCTGCTTTACCTAATATTTTAATTAACTCCAATATTGACTCAATTATTATGGTCGGTCAGCATTATGACATCACTAATCAATGACAAAAGAACCATAATAAGACATCAAAAACTCAAACCATAAATCAAACTTTTATCCTATATAGGAGGTCAGTTCCAAACCTAAGAGGTACAGAGGTAATTGGAGTTGAATAAAAGTTATAGGGGACACCAATAACCCTATTATTGGCCCGCTGATTATTCGATCAGCATTCCACAGTAGGAATCTCGAATCTCTCAGTTATTTTGGCAGGTAGCCAAAAACCAGATGTACACGGTGATCACTTTCACTTTCTCTCATAATATTACTTCTTAAAGACGATAAATTTGAACATATTCCCTCTATTATTCAAGTCTAAACGCCCAAACCAAATAAATAAATCTAAGAACTCAAATATAGATTAACACAATGATAGGTATATATGTGGGAAAAGTGACTTTAATTACAAGATGGACGCGCCTAGCTAGATATTGTTCCATTGTTTAACCGTAGAATAATAAGATTAATATTCTTTCTTGCTCCACACGGAGAGCTACAGATGAGAGGAGCTACAGGAACCACTTAATGCCTTTCTTTTCTATAAAAAGGACATTTGAGTCTCAATCTTTGAAGCAACAAACCAACTCAACTAGCAACTACATTGATAAAATCTGTTGCAACAGCTCCATTATTTAACATCTATGGCTCCTTCAGCAGACCTAAGAAAAATTGGCTTAGAAGGCTTTGCTCTGATAGACAAAGTCTGTTTTCCACCAAGAAGGAGCAACGGCAACGCCAATGATGCATTCCAAGGGCGACGAGAACGCACTTGGGTGGTTCATCATGTGCCTAATGGTGTCATGGAAGATTCTGCTGAGATTGGTAAGGAGGTTCACTTTGCTGGTATATCTGCTGTGAGTTATCCCAAGGGAAAGCCCCAGAATCGTTGGGGTAGACCCATTAAGTTCTAAGCTCTTTGGCTTATGCATATATGTTATCACGTTATCTTCAAATGGGTACGTATGTGTTTCGTGTTAAGTTTACTCTTGTATGATATATATGTAGAAAAAAAACTCGAAGACCTCTATATGTAAATCTAGGTCTTCTGTAGTTTAGGAATGGAAATTACATATATTTGTAGTTAAATAATGTAATCCCTATCTCTCTGTAATACATGATGTATCAAGGGATGTAATGAAACTAGTTATGGTCTCGATGGTGTTCTCAAACCTTAAAATTCTGTATAGAATTCACTGATCATCGAAAACTGATCTGATCTCAACTCGTACATTTCAACATATGATATGTTTTAAATGATTACGATCGTCACTTCAACCACACACGAGGGAAGAAAATGGTACTAGTATAGTAGTATGGATAAAAATTAAATTAATACCGGCATATTCAAGTTGTGATGATATCATGTCATCGGAATAATGATGTAAATAATTGTTATAAAGTAGCCAAATAATTAACTACTTCGACTTCCTTAGATCAAATTAAAGCAAAGTATGTGTTTGTTGTGAAATAAAGTTTAAAGCTTCTAATTAAAAGAAAAAGTGTTTAATTTCTAAAATCAATCACCCTCAAACATGTATTAAATGAAAAATTAAGGGAATAAAAACCCTTTACCCAACTGTTGGGCTTACTCGAAGATCTGTGATGACTCGAAAAAAGCAAACAACTCGAAATGGGACACATTCATGAGGTTCAAGGTATCAAATACTTAAGTCATCTGTACTCGAAGTGTACTCGAATCAAGGAGCCAAGTCGAATCCAGAGGTGCTCGAATAGGTGGAAATTGCTATAGAATGCCAGATAAAGTGATTTCTTTAGAAATAGTTAAAAGTGCTCGAAGATGGCGCGCTAGAGCGGTTATTAAAATTCAAGAATAAAACATGTGGGAACGACAGTTATCAGGAGTTGGTGGTGGAAGTTATAAGCACGTGTTTAATATGGGAAGCGGTTGCCCACCCACGATGCTTACACGTAAAGAAAAACTGCCCTTGAAGAACTCTATAAATACATCAATTTCAGTCTTGTACGAGGTCGGAAAACTCATACTTCAACTTTAACCTTCAAGCATTCTCTGCCTGCACACATGGCTTATGCGCGAGGAATTATCTTTGGGTATGATTACTTCTCGGCCACATTTTTGTTCTCTTTTTAGGATTAGGATTAGTGTAGGTCTTCTTTTACTTATAGCTTTATATTTTCATCTTGTAACGTTTGAATGTTAAATACATGGAACCATGATCTGTATTGCAAACATATATATTGTTCATTTCTGCCCTTAATTATCGAGGAAGTCTTAGAAACAAGTAATCATTAATCTCTCTGCTTCTTCTTTTCTCATTTATGCAAAATTCAAAGCAATACATACCTAAATTGAAACATTTCTGTGCTAGTCTAAATAAAAAGAACTCATAAAAACTAATTCCACCATAAACAAATTGGCACGCCCGGTGGGACCTGTTTAATTCAGAACATAATTGGACTAGTTTTAGGTGTGTGAATTGCATGAGATTAAGGAGTGGACGAACTATGTCTACGTCTAATAATCAGAGAGACCCAAATGCAAATCATAATAATCATGTAGATATAGAACAAACCAACCCCGACCCTGATAGTGCAACCAATGTGACCAGGGGAGCAACGTCTCCTCCTGTGTTACTCGAGAATAATGCTAGGCCAAACAATGTTACTCAGGAACTGGTAAATGTCACTATATAACCAAAAAGTAATATACATATAAATGGTAACATGAGGTTTTGTTTCAGAAATTTTTAATTAAAAAATTATTTTATAAAAATTATATATCGAGTAAAATATAATAAAAGTTTGTAACTTTAATTATTTAATATGTAATGTTTATCATAGAACAAACCAACCCCGACCCTGATAGTGCAACCAATGTGACCAGGGGAGCAACGTCTCCTCCTGTGTTACTCGAGAATAATGCTAGGCCAAACAATGTTACTCAGGAACTGGTAAATGTCACTAGGGAATATCCTTGGGGTATGCCACCTAATTGGCGGAGCGCCCAACCGGTGCATGTTGAAATGTCAATGCCTTTCGTAGGACCCAGTTCACAAATGCACGTATCCCCACAGGGATACAATCCTGGGCCAAATGGTTTGGGTTTTGTTATGCAAGACCCATATCAGCATGTGGGAACGAGTCAGGAAGGATCGTTAATACGACAGGGTAGTTACGTACCTACTGGTATCAGTAATCAAGCGATGATGGCCCTTCGACAACAAATGGATCATAGAAATCATGACATGGTCAATTTGTTGTCAACTCAAATGCACAATATTATGACTCATCTGTACGAGTTTATAAACAAAATAGGGGACAGATTAGGTAATGAACCTCCTTCGAGAGCAATGAGTGCAAACCTGAATGAAATGGAAAACCCTGGGGGGCATGGAAATTTTCATCAGAACGTAGTTCGACCTAATAGGAATCTCAATGATAACTTAGATCAGATGGTGGAAAGAATATTGAATAGGCATGGATTCGATGTAGGTCGAAATGAGCGTCCATATTTCGTGTCAGCCTTCCCTGATTATATAACACAGGTTGAACTACCCCGAGGATTAAAAGTACCAAAGTTCTCAAAATTTGCAGGAGAATTGACTGAGTCAACAGTCGAACACATAGCTAGGTCAAGGATAATTGGAGTGTGTATCCTAACACAGGAACAATACAAAATGAACTTATTAAATAAGAATTATTTCTCAATTATTTATTATATTTAAACCTCATCGGTATATCCAACAATATTGTTTCTTTCCTTTTATATGATTGGTGGTGTTAATCAATTATTTGTGTTGGATTTACGAGGAGGATGGCGTATGTAGAGGTGGGCTGTTGGAACTCTCTTTGGGCTTGTAATGTATGTAGCCTCGGTCCACGGTTGTGGTTTTTCTTTATTTTTATTTTTTTTGTGAGGCCACCGCTATTGTCAAGTAACATTGTGTAATTGTGTTAAACTATGCTTAAAGTTAATAACATTTTTCCTTTTTTTTTAATTCAAAAAGAACATCTGCATTGCTGCAATTATAAACTAATTTTTATTATCATTGATTAGAAAAAGAAAAAGAATGAGAATTGTTGGTTACATATCTACAAGCTGCAGTGAGTTGTCACTTATCACTGTTGTACTGACCAAAAATTATATTAAGTACTACTTGTTGTTAGCTTAGCTACAACCTTAAGCTAGAAAACTGCATAGAACTTGGGAAGCGTTGAGATTCCACATAGAGCATAGATATGATTACTTAGAGCTTATAAAAGCTCGAAAGCTAACTTTTGACCAACAATCTTCCCACATAAAATAGAGCTTATAGAGACAGAGATGACATTCATGAGCTAGCTTTAATAGTTAAAGTTAGGTAAAATTTAAATTTAAGTTAATTTCTTACATATTACAAGATATCTTTTAAACATGCAAGACTTTCATAATTGTCTTATACCTTCAAATAGCTTCTAATCATATTAAACATAAATTATCGTTTTTCTTTATCTTTTAACTAGAAAAAAAATACTTTGTGCCTGTTTATAATTTAAAGCAAATAAAAATAATTAAAACTGAATAATAGTTTATGGTTAATAATCTAAAGATTTAAGTGATTTTTGAGATGTTATAAAAGGTTAAATGAGATATAATATAGGAATTACAAGGAGAAAATTTTCTTAAAAAGTGTGTAAGAAAGAGGGATAATAGATGAATAATGGCACATTACTAATTCGTGATCATAGATGATACATGGTGTATTTGTGTCGTATGATATGACACATTTTAGAAATCATAGTACATGTCATGACAAGATTATAATATAACATAAGTTAGGAATATGCTTCACAGATTAATAGAACCTTACTGAATTGGTAGCATAAATAGGGACTTTGGAATAAACAACAGCAACCATCCACTTTTCTTCCTGAATGCAAACCAATTTCGGGTCAGCCAAAGTTGGTTCCTAACTTCTTAAAGATTTCATTCGAGCTAAAAGGTTTCAACTTGAATATGTGAAAGTGCAAAACGTGTTATTTTGATTATAAACTTCTTAAAAGTCATGATTATAAGTAAACACATTTTGAAATACTTGCTTCATTATAAAATTTCAACGACGAAGTACCAAAGAACTAACAGCTTATGGCATAAAAAAGGCCAAGAAAAAAAAAACTGACTGATTAAATAGCTATGAGGAAAAGAACTCGCTGCAGGACTGATATATGATCGAAGATGTTGCACAATGAGAAGAATGTGGAGAGCACTAGTACTTGTAACACCCCACGAATATGAGAGCAGATTGGCGAAGAACGGTATAAATGTATAATGTATTCCTTCAAAGTTTGAGAAATGATTTGGTTCCATTCTTCAAGCATCTTTCTCTTCAAACACTTCTGGTCAATGGGCTTGTCCTATTGGTGTGAATGATAATGATCACACCAAAGCATGCAAAATGCAACATGCATCAGTACAAGATAGATGAGTGAGGTTCAAATTCTTAATAACAACCATTCAAAAATTAAATATCTGCATTTTTCATGCATCAATTGCTCTATCTTTCATGATTATTAGAATTAAGTCAATGTTTTCATGAATCGATCTCCTGTATTAATACCAAAACAATATCACTGTGCTAATTGCTAAAGAAACACATGCCTACACTTTCTAGAACCTCGTTAACAGGGATACATAATATACTGGGAAAATTTTACTTCTACTCTAACAAATAGAATTCAATTAACTCAATAAAAACACGATCAATGAATGAATTACCATTTACCACATAAAGGAAGGAATCCATGAACTAAACAAGTCAGAAAAAGAAGTAATTGATCAATGTCTGTCGATCTGTCTGTGTTGTCCGTTTCTTATCACATTAAACACGAGTCCGGTTGTTTTGTATGGTACATGCTTTTTATGCTATTTTTAATCAAAAATAGACTTTCACCTAAAGAAACACTTACAATAATAATACTTATAATAACATTCTCTGACATCTTGGTCAACTTTTTATGCTATCACGATAACGATTTGCATGGCTTGTGTGGTTGACGTGTTTATTACTTTATTATATATTACATGTCACATTTTTAATGAATCGTGTGTTGTATGCCAACATTATATTTCTCCTATGAGCTGGTAGCAATCACATGATTTCAGCTTCAACCTGCACGAAATCAAGATATTGGGAATAGAGAGTTATTAAATTGTTAAGAATTAATGATGTTAAATGGGGATATCATTACATAAATATTTTAATGCAATAAACAAGAATAATGATACAGGGTAAAACTAATGTTAGTTTAATGACTTCATAACTTAAACTAAACCTATGACATCTAGCAAATGTCTTGAATCATTCGAGGGGCAGTGTGGAATAAGCTGCTGCTGTCGTCACTGTCACCCTGCTGAATGTAAGTTAACCGGTTCAACATACTGAGATCTCCTCCTTCTTTTGGATTCGGGAGATAATCTTATGGCACTCACCTTTCCAAGCTTTACAGAAAACTTACAATTTGCTGGTGGTGACAACCCAGTTGATCCATATTTCCTAGAAGATGAGGAAGACCTTTCTCTTTCTATTTCGGCTTTGTTCTTGTGACCTTTATTAGAGGGCTTTTTTGTTGGAGACTTTGCTCTCTTTTTCGGCAAAAGAATCTGGCCATCCTCCCTTTCCTTAGCCCGCTTGAGGAGCCTAACATGAAAGGGATTTTCAGAAGCGTAGCACACAGACACCCCATCAACTCCATTTCTTTCTAGAGCTACTTCTCCATTGTTTACCTGAAAATATGTAGAACTCACATGATAGATTGAAATAATGGTCCAGGGACAATCCAAGTAATTGGACTCTGTCAAAAACCATAACAGTAACTAAAGTTGAACATATGCACTGGATATTGCTAACAAAGGAATTACCAGTAAGTAACCAAAATTGATCATTTTCTTCACCAGCAACTGCACAGGCACCATTTTCTTCAGGTTGAACAGATGTCCCATCAATGGGGGATCTAGCAAATAACGAATACTTGAAAATGAAGTATTTCCCTAGTTCTTTGACCAAACATGCTTTTACATGGTTTACCACCTTACCTCCTAATTCGATACACACTTGGGTACAGTTAGAGGTTAGTTTCCACGAACATTTCTTTAGAGAGGAAACGAAAGTGAGTATAGTCGATCTAATGAATATCAAGAGACAAAATAATGAAACCTTAGATGACTATTTAAATAGATTCAGGCAATTAAAATCTCGATGTTATACTAATATACCTGAACATGAATTAGTTAGGATTGCAGCAACAAGGTTAGATTTCTCAATACGCAAAAAATTAGTGAACGAACAATTAAGAGATATGGCCCAATTAGCCGAGGATGACTCGAAAAAAGCAAACAACTCGAAATGGGGCACATTCATGAGGTTCAAGGTATCAAATACTTAAGTCATCTGTACTCGAGGTGTACTCGAATCAAGGAGCCAAGTCGAATCCAGAGGTGCTCGAATAGGTGGAAATTGCTATAGAATGCCAGATAAAGTGATTTCTTTAGAAATAGTTAAAAGTGCTCGAAGATGGCGCGCTAGAGCGGTTATTAAAATTCAAGAATAAAACACGTGGGAACGGCAGTTATCAGGAGTTGGTGGTGGAAGTTATAAGCACGTGTTTAATATGGGAAGCGGTTGCCCACCCACGATGCTTACACGTAAAGAAAAACTGCCCTTGAAGAACTCTATAAATACATCAATTTCAGTCTTGTACGAGGTCGGAAAACTCATACTTCAACTTTAACCTTCAAGCATTCTCTGCCTGCACACATGGCTTATGCGCGAGGAATTATCTTTGGGTATGATTACTTCTCGGCCACATTTTTGTTCTCTTTTTAGGATTAGGATTAGTGTAGGTCTTCTTTTACTTATAGCTTTATATTTTCATCTTGTAACGTTTGAATGTTAAATACATGGAACCATGATCTGTATTGCAAACATATATATTGTTCATTTCTGCCCTTAATTATCGAGGAAGTCTTAGAAACAAGTAATCATTAATCTCTCTGCTTCTTCTTTTCTCATTTATGCAAAATTCAAAGCAATACATACCTAAATTGAAACATTTCTGTGCTAGTCTAAATAAAAAGAACTCATAAAAACTAATTCCACCATAAACAAATTGGCACGCCCGGTGGGACCTGTTTAATTCAGAACATAATTGGACTAGTTTTAGGTGTGTGAATTGCATGAGATTAAGGAGTGGACGAACTATGTCTACGTCTAATAATCAGAGAGACCCAAATGCAAATCATAATAATCATGTAGATATAGAACAAACCAACCCCGACCCTGATAGTGCAACCAATGTGACCAGGGGAGCAACGTCTCCTCCTGTGTTACTCGAGAATAATGCTAGGCCAAACAATGTTACTCAGGAACTGGTAAATGTCACTAGGGAATATCCTTGGGGTATGCCACCTAATTGGCGGAGCGCCCAACCGGTGCATGTTGAAATGTCAATGCCTTTCGTAGGACCCAGTTCACAAATGCACGTATCCCCACAGGGATACAATCCTGGGCCAAATGGTTTGGGTTTTGTTATGCAAGACCCATATCAGCATGTGGGAACGAGTCAGGAAGGATCGTTAATACGACAGGGTAGTTACGTACCTACTGGTATCAGTAATCAAGCGATGATGGCCCTTCGACAACAAATGGATCATAGAAATCATGACATGGTCAATTTGTTGTCAACTCAAATGCACAATATTATGACTCATCTGTACGAGTTTATAAACAAAATAGGGGACAGATTAGGTAATGAACCTCCTTCGAGAGCAATGAGTGCAAACCTGAATGAAATGGAAAACCCTGGGGGGCATGGAAATTTTCATCAGAACGTAGTTCGACCTAATAGGAATCTCAATGATAACTTAGATCAGATGGTGGAAAGAATATTGAATAGGCATGGATTCGATGTAGGTCGAAATGAGCGTCCATATTTCGTGTCAGCCTTCCCTGATTATATAACACAGGTTGAACTACCCCGAGGATTAAAAGTACCAAAGTTCTCAAAATTTGCAGGAGAATTGACTGAGTCAACAGTCGAACACATAGCTAGGTATGGGGTCGAATGTGGGGATCTAGCAAATAACGAATACTTGAAAATGAAGTATTTCCCTAGTTCTTTGACCAAACATGCTTTTACATGGTTTACCACCTTACCTCCTAATTCGATACACACTTGGGTACAGTTAGAGGTTAGTTTCCACGAACATTTCTTTAGAGAGGAAACGAAAGTGAGTATAGTCGATCTAATGAATATCAAGAGACAAAATAATGAAACCTTAGATGACTATTTAAATAGATTCAGGCAATTAAAATCTCGATGTTATACTAATATACCTGAACATGAATTAGTTAGGATTGCAGCAACAAGGTTAGATTTCTCAATACGCAAAAAATTAGTGAACGAACAATTAAGAGATATGGCCCAATTAGCCGAGAATCTTTTAAGGAAATAATATTGCTTGTTTAAACAATTTATGTATTATACTTTATTTTTTCATTATGAGATAATCCTTTTGTTATGTTGAAGAATTTAATCTCATACAAGTTTATGCTTAGCTGTGTTCTTTATCATTTATACAATTTAGCCTAGTTTCTACAAAATTCTATTTTCAAAATGTTATATTCTCGTACTCAGTACCATTTCCCTACTTGTAATCCATACTTGAACCCGGTACCAATTCCCTATCCGTACAATATTTCATTTAAACAAAAAAACAGACGGGTGCCATGATTTCCAATTTGACCAAAGACATCATATGTAATGCAACTATGGCACATCATGTGTAATACTTATTCACCAGTTAACATGACATCTGCAACCAAGTAGAAAATAAAAGCCGGAACATTTGTTTGCCTCTAACATAAAAATAAATAAGGTAAAGTTCTAACGCTGAAGCAGATAATTAATTTTTTTTTTCCTAATGTTCAAGGTTTCAAAAAACGGTATTTCGGCTACAATCTCATGGTTTTTTGGGTGTCTGCGATGCCTCTCCCCAAACAAATTAACAAGACAGAGAGAGGGGATTGCAAATTACATAAGAAAAAGCAAACACAGACTAAAACTTTAACTAAAAAATCAAACCTTTTCTGAGAAAGAAACTCCAAAGCACGCAAGACCAAGGTGTAGAGATACTCGACCTTTCGACTATACACCTGCATGGAACCCTGAAGCAGCAGAGCAGCTACAATTACCCAGAAACAGCTAATTCAGTTGAACACAAACCTTAAAACACTAATAGCGTGTTTGAATTCGCGTCAGAAAACTACGTCTTGAATTTGACGCGGAAATAACATATAAAAGCTTCTGATTTTCACGTTTTGGACGCACGTTAACTTCAATAAACGTGAATCCAAACACGCTATAAGTGGTAACTTTCAAAAGACAAACTAGTACGATGTGCCAAACCTTCGGCGAAATTAACAGGAATATGTCCTTCTTCTTCGCTGGTTATCTCGCCGGAGCAAATTTTCAGAAGATACTCCTCAAGCTTCTTGGCGAGGTCAACTTCCCAATTGGATTCTAGGTCACGCTCCGCGTGAACCTCGTGGAAGCCACCGCCTCCACTCGCTCCGCGTGCAAATCATGGTAATGTCGCAATTTTCGACGCCAGAAACCAGAAATGGGGAAAAACCCTAGGGTTTCAGATTCTCTCATCTTTAGATACGTGTCACACAAGTCTTCTAACCAAGAATAATAACTGTTTTAAACTGCCATCAACCACTCAAACATTATTCTTTAGTACCAACTTCCCTTTTCATCACTACACTACACTCTCAGATTCTCTCCAAAAAAAATGGAGATCCTCCATGCAGGCACACTAGTTGTCATTTCCCTCTTTGCTCTTTCTTTCTTCTCAGTTTCATGTTCTCAATATCCAACTTCAGGTTACCATAAAGGAGCACTTCTTCATCTTAAAAAAAAAAAAAAAAGTTTTGCACAATCCTTACCTTCTCTTTGTTTCTTGGTTTGGGACAGATAGATCGCAACTTCCCCTATTCGCTTTTAGTTGGTGGGATGACAAGGGAACATTCCATGCCGGTGACACAGCCACCATCAAAGTCAAAGTGCTTGAGAATGCTGATAAGATTGACAGAAAAACTTTTAACCCCATTCTAACTGTGAATGGAAAGGAAGGGAACAGTTCCTACGTTTCTACTGTGTTGTCAAATTTCCTAGGAGACCCAAATGAATGGAAGATTTCCTTCACCCCCATCAGGGTTGGATTGTTTAATGTCCTCATCAACGAGGATCGTTATAAAGTTTCTGACTCATCCTTGCATTTCCAAGTTGAACCAGGTTTACTTTATATTATAAACTTCATTTAATAGAACTGAAAATTGCATAAGCACTTAGAAATTATTGGGTACCACTCCATGTGGACCAGCCAATCACTATATGACATATGTTTAAATCTTTTGATCTACAAAAAAAAAAAAAAATAACCTTGAAGGATTATGTTATTTCAAAGAAAAAAGAAAACACCATTGTTTTGCAATCTTGTATAAACCTTGGTGTTATCTATCAATGTAGGTTACTTTGGTATTGTATGTGCCTAATGATAAACTAATAATGCTTGATAATATTGTCCTACTGAAGGGAACATGTACCCGTCTGTGTGCGTTGCATCATGGAAGGGCGTGAAGCATGAATACGAGGCTGGTTCAAAAGCTACAATTATGGTGCTCCTTAAAGATGCATTTGGGAACCATATCTCTAAGACGAGTCAAGTGTCCTATTTGCCTGATTTTAAGTTGTATGTGCTGCATGAAAATGGTTCTGTTGCGAGTGTTCCAGATATCTCTAACATGGGATGGAATGATTTTGACTATGTAGTCATTGAGTTTGTTGTGACCAAAGCTGGGAAGTTTTCCTTGAGCTTAGAAGGAGGAAATCAAACCTTGAATGGTTCTCCATTACCATTGAAGGTGAATCCAGGTTGTGTTCTTTTCTT